AATGGATATTATCTGGGGCCCCCGATTTAGTCCCATTAAGCTGTTTGAGTTTGACTTCCACCTCCAATATGGTAATTTCTACTTTCATATCCTCATTCCCATTAGCCACACGGTCACTGCCCTTAAGTTCTTCATTAACCTTATGAAAAACTGAGGCAGAGTATTTGTTTAGGTGTTGAGTCATTACAAGATTATCTTTAATCTCCACCGCATGCTTAGTGGTCCCCCTTCTTCTTTCCTTTTTATTTATATGGCTCATTTCAGCTCAGCACAATCTTCCTACGATTCAGTGCCAGAGGAGCAAAATAAATCAAAGCAGGAGAGATCCAGAAATCCAGGTCAGGCTGAATCCGTGCCAGAAGGGGAGGGATTGGAAAGGGTCATGGTTTTAGCATTCTCCGCCAACTAACGAAAAGGCTGCTAACTACAGGCGTTCACCCAAGAGTGCCAGATGCTGTACTTTCAATAACAAGTCTGAAGTTATGGTGCCATAATTCAAGCTTAGCCATTTTGTCCTGAACAATGGTCAAGTCCTACCAAACCGTGTTCCAGCAAATGGCAAGGTTTTAAAGAGACATCTGTCATGCCTCGAGGATCCCTCAGCATTTTAATAAGGACTTTGGTACCAGCAGCGCAGGGATCACGTAGGCAGATCCCACAGTTATCACACAACCCATCACAACACAGCCGGTGGGGCTGGGAAGCGAGGGAATGGGAAGTAGAAGACAAGCAGCACCCTAATGGATATACGGCAAGTCTTTTCAGTTCAGAGTGGTAGCTAAGCCCAGTCTACCTGATGTCTGCTTAGTGGCCCCTCAGCAGCTCCTGGTGAAAGGGCGTCCGTTTTATTAATTTCACAATACATCACCCACATCGCTGTCAGACTTGAGAGAGGCTGCAGTGCACAGGAATTGAGGAGTATCTCGGTCAGTAGTTTGGAAGCCCGCTAGTGGGCCTCCCAGTTTTCTCCTGCAGATGCCACCAGAACACTTTATAAAGCAGCAGCGTATGAATGTAGCTAGGTTTGTAAGTTTGGGTACAGTTAGTAAACACAGTTATTTGGAATATGACTGTGTCCCTGTGGTTCCCTTATAATTTAGTATCATGTAAAGAGTAAGGCAGAGCTAGTGCCCTGAGGTATTCAAGTCTAGACATGGTGCCTCCAGATCAGATTTGAGTCATTCTGGAATTGTACTATTTGCTGTCCATGCTATATCCATCCTAAGGGTAAGTGGTGGACTTCAGTGCTAATAAAAAAAGTGCTTGGGTGCTATAGTCTCTCCCACACACTTCAACAAAGGGGTAGGAAGTTAATGTGGTGTGAAGAGTTTAAAAAAAAAAATGGAGGCCCCGATTCTGCAATCAGCTCCATGTGCGCAGAGCCCTGCACTCATGTTGAGCTCTTCCACGGTCAATAGGGCTCCGCACAGGGGTACATTGCTGTGGCCTGCAGGATCATGGTCAAAGCTGGGGAGCCGTTAAACAGAAAATTGTAATAAAAACCCTTCCCGTTGTCTATTACCCTCCTAGATGAGGAAAAAGAGCTGAAAGGGACAGATATCGCCTTTTAGATATTCACTGCATATTTATCCCTTATATTTTGGGCACCTCTGAAGTTAGCTTGACTGGCACTTTTTGGTTTCTCCAGGCAACGATGATGGCAGAACACAATTAATGCTCTTTCTGGAGCTAAGTTCAAGAGCCCAAAGGGTTGTTTTTCCAGGGCTCTCAAAGCCAGGAGCTGTGTATAATTTTGAAGGTGCACGGTAATGAATCCACAGCTATCTAGGAGTTCTCAGCTGTCACTCAGCGGCATATCATGCCCACTCAGAACTTCATGGCATCAACAGGGATCAAACTCACATCCTCCTACTCCAGAAGGCCAGGCCCTACCGTTTAAACTACAAGGATAAATCATGAAAGACTAGGAATTCGACTAAGTCACTGTACTATAGAGTCAGTCTCACGCGCTCTCTGTGGCTTTATGACTGTGTAAGTATTTATCCCCCGTGGAACAGTCATTGGGCCAAAGAGAGAATGGCTCTGTAGTCCAGTGGTTAGGACACCCACCAGGGAGAGGGAGACCTGGCATCCAGTCCCCCTACTCCATTTACTTTCATTTTTTTAATCCAGAGTGGAACAACTTCAACAGGGGGGACTGAGGGAGCCCCATATCAGAATAGCCCGAAGCCCAGTGGTTAGAGAACTCTCCTCAGAGGATTTTAACTGTGGTCTCCCACCTTTCCCCGCCTCCAGCAGAAAGAGAGAATTGCACTTGAGATGTGGGAGGGCCAGGTTAATGCTCTACTCACTGGGCTAGAAGTTATGAAATGGGCACCTCGCACCCCACCTTTTGAAGGGGAACCAATCCTGTAGGCAGCCTCTAAGCCCATCTACCAGATTGGGCCCAACAAGCAATTTAGGTGCCTAAACACTTATCCTCCCCCAGTGCATGAATCACTGAATCACTCTGCGGCTCTGGACAACAATAGCAAGGCAGCAGTGTGCAAGCCCAGAGGCAAAAAACTTAGACACAGAGGAAACTTTTACCCTGAAAACTTAGGCACTAAATGTAGCCACCTACAGGGTTCAGGGAGAATTATGGATTACAAGGGAACCCAAACTGGGATTTAGGCACCTAAGTATCTTTGCTGATCTGGGCCTTAGTTACTGGCAATATAAATAGCGTTGCAAAAAGTAGTTCCCGCCATCTAGCACCCCCCCCCCACCCCAAAATGGGTCATGTTCAAAACATGTGACATTCTCTAATTAAGAGGAGTCAGGGGACAAATTCCCCCCATACCTCCGACCTTTTGAAATAATCCCACAAAACCAGAAAATTGTAAAGTAAGTTTGCCATGGCGAAGTATTTTGCCAAGTTGCACAAAGACCCTATTATTAGAAGATCCCACAAGACTGAGCAACACACACCATGTGCTCGGCATATATAGTTGGTAGGGTGACCAGATCGCCTGATATTAGGAGCTTTGTCTTATTTACACACCCATATCCCCCAATTCTTCCCCGCAAAAAACCCAGGGTCCTGATTTTTCACCCTTGCTATCTGATCAACCTTGCAATTGGGCAAGTCACATCCACATTACACAACACCACCATTGCACAATCGCAGCATTCGTTTTCAAGACGGCCCTGTGCAAGGCACCCTATCGCAACTGCTGACATGGGACCCTACAGAGGCTCTGAAGTAGCCTTCAAACTCTGCAAATAATCCCTGTGGCTCTGTGCCTTTAGATCAAACAACAAAATCTCTATTCAACCCCCTGCCTTCCAGAGGCCCTAGTACAGCTGTGAAGTGCCACTGTGGGTGTGGAGGTACTTCTTGCTAGAGCAGTTCAATTTTTATTTTATTTTTAAAAAGGGGGGGGCGGGGATGATGCAATTAATGACTACTAAGAGACTGAGTAAGCTCCTTATTGCACATGAAAATGCCCAATACTCAGGGCCGGCTAGGGTGACCAGACGTCCCAATTTTATTGGGACTGTCCCGATATTTCCTTCTTTGTCCCGCGTCCCGACCGATGTTCGGTCGGGACACTGGACAAAAAAGCAATTTTGCCCTCCACTCCGGCCCCCCCCCCGCCTCCTTCCCCCATTGGATCCCTCCATGGAGGGAGGAGGTTAGGAGGAGGGATGTGTGGAGGGGGGGATGGAGTGAGGAGGGTCGGGCAACTACCAGGAGCGTGGGA